TGTGTGTGTGTGTGTGTGTGTGTGTGTGTGTGTGTGTGTGTGTGTGTGTGTGTGATATATATATATATATATTTACACATATACACACTCTCCCGATACTTGGAGCCAGCTTGATCAGTCCCCTCCAGCCTCGCTCTTCCTATGCTGCATGGCATGCTCCTCGATGTCCTTGCGTCCTATACACAGTGTATTGGACATGATGACTCAAGGATCCTTAGACCGCTGCAGTGAAGGGGGAGTGAGGCTGGAAGGATCGGTCTAAGAGCAAGCAGGCTGCAAACCTTTCTATTTTTGCACCTAGACAAAAATGAGCAGTTAGTCCTTGCAGCTCAGGGGTAGCCCCATTCCAATGGTTAAAAAAACGTTTTGCCTGGAGTCCTTCTTTAAGATATGGATAATATACAAAAAAAACTTGATTTAACGTGCCAGAAAGTGTATACAATAGTGTCCACTACTCAGAGCCAGAACCCCTTTAATTCTGTCCTAAAGGGCCCCCATAGAGTTCCCATACAGTGTGGGAGTTTAGCATTTCATCATGTGTGCCCCCTGCGCTGTCACAAGTACAATACAGTACTGTGTTCAGTGACTGACAGAACCATGCTTTGCATAGCTAGGGCAGACATTTCCACAAACTCTGCAATCATCTTTTCTTCTGACTTTGCTCTACTTTACTTTCACTGCAATGGTGAGAAATCTATGCTCTGAATATCCTGACAGTTGGCAGGTTACTGACCAAAATAAAAAAACAAAAAACAAAAAAAGGGAGAAAAAAAAAAAAGAAGAAGGAGAGAGAGAGAGAGAGAGAGAGAGGAGAGAGAAGGAATTCAGACGTGAACCAGAATTAATACAAATTGCTGTACTTCTGAACACAGAGCTTTTTGTAGCAGCAAAAACCTACATATAGAAAATAACACGATACCCCAAGCTAAAGGCTCTTCCATTCTTATAGAAGTCATCTTGTTTCCACATTAGCTACAATATAAAGAAAGCCAATAACCCTTTCGCTGCCAAGCCCTCCGGAACATTTGGCACCTCAGCTGGCCACACCATTTTTGCAATTTTTCCCATTGATTGCGTTGCTAGCGTTTGTAAAAGACCCCCCAAACCATATATTTTCTGAAAGCGCAGGCCCGGTAGAATAAAAAGATGGTGCTACTAAATTTGTAGGACCTGCGATAATTTCGCAAATGTTTCTCAAATTAATATTAAACCGATAAAAATACACAATTCAATTAATAAAACACACTAAAATTAGTATCAGCGCACAAAAAAATATATTTTCTGACTAAATCTAAAAAGATAAAAACTGTATTGGAGTTAATAAATAATATTTGCAAATTTGAAATTGCGCCTTTTTGCGAAAAGGTAAAAAAATTAAGGCACGCAAAACTGTAAATAAGCGACTTAGACCCCTGACATTTCCCTTTTGAAATAGAAAATTGAGGACACAGAGTCCTCATTTTTTTTTTCTGCAGCCTCAGCACTCAATGAATGGGAAGCACTCAGTACAGAGGCTTCCCATTCATTCAGAAACTGGTGATAGTAAAATATTTACTATCACCAGTTTCTGAATGGGGAGGAGCCTCTGTAGTGAGTGCTTCTCCTCATTGAGAAAATCATGAATGAACAGGAAGTGATGTAAATCACATCCTGTTCATTCATAACTGGGGACGCATAGTACTATGTGTCCCCAGTTATTTACAAACACCGAAGTGATCGCTCCAGTGTTTGTGCTGCACAGAGGATCGGTAAATGTCATTGATGTTTACCAATCCTCCGCTCGGCCACGCACAGAGCCGCTGTCATCCGGAAACTGACAGGATGACAGCAGCTCCGATCTCCTCACCGCTCGGCCATCCTGAAACTTCCCCGCCTGAGATTTTTTTTCGGATCCCCCGCTGCCTCAGCCTCTACAAGCGGGGGAGAGCAGCGGGGATCCATGCAGACACAGATCTTTGCCTGGAGTGGCTCCAGGCAGGGATGAGAGGCTCCAGATGCCGGCAGCAGTGGTGGGGGGGCCCCCTTTATTTTTGTTAATAGCGGTCATCAGCGGCTTGTAAGCCGCTGATGACCGATATTAATTTAAAGGGGACAGTCTGGGGAACAGTTCCACTATAAGTTCATGGTCGCTAAAGCGACCTTGAGCTTATAGCAGAACTGTAAATGCCACCTTCGTACGGCTTACTGACCTGGCCAGCTGGGAACAGTTTTTTCCCACCGTATGCCTTATGGCGGTGGCAAGGAAAGGGTTAATAGGCTGGTAATTGACAAGACCAGGCCTAAGGGTTCTTTCACACAAGCGTTGAGAATTTAATGAAAGAGCAAAGCTGATTAACGCGCCTCTAGTGTTAACAAGGCATCCGACAGGCATTTTCAAGGCATTGAGGAGGTGTCAAAAACGCTTCCAAAATGCCCTGCAAGTAGGGGAGTGCGTTAAAGAGTAAAGTGATGTAGTAAAGGGTAGTTACCACACTTCCATATTTTTGAAGGAGTCGCAGTAGCTGGGTAGACTTGGGTCATACAATTCTGGGAGTTGCTGAACTGCTTGAATGAGCCGTGCAACATTTATTTCAGACATGACCTGTCTTGGCTGATACTTGCCATGCCTGGCAATGGTATGGCTGGCACTGCTTTGGATGACACTGATAACAGCTGGCACTACAGGGTGGCATACAGCAGGCTGTCAAAGGTTGCAAGAAGCTAACAGTTTGCGCAGCACTTTACAATATAAAAAGGTGCCCATACACCTGCCGATTATCGTACGATAATTCCGGGTAATCCCGCGATCGTACGATAATCGGCAGGTGTATGGGCAGTGTGTGACTGCTTCTACTGTAAGGTCGCACGACATTCGCCTTCCGAGAACGCTTAAAAACCTGCTGAAAAATCGTACGATTTTCGGCGGGTTGGTGGCGTGGTCGGGAGACGAATGCCGCACGGGCCGGTGTGCGCAAGCGCTCACTGCCCGGTTAGCACTGCAATCATCGGAAGCCCCCCCGCCCTCAGCGGGGATGGCTTGCGATGATCGCAAGTACGATCTGCCTGTCCAAGATGGGCAGATTGTACGTTTTTTTAATTACTTTACAACCACCTTAAGGTGTATGGCCAGCTTACGGAAGACATGACAATTACAATACATTTCAAGACAAGATGGTAAGGAGGGCCCCGCCCGTCGTTAACAGGCAGCAGAGAGAAGTTAAAAATGCTTCTGCCTGTTTTTTGTTTTTTTTACACACTTGTGTAAGAGGCCTCGTGTAAGCACCCGTATCTATTAGAACATACATTTTCCAGAGCTCAAAATATTTTCACAAATTTCCATCCGTGTATTCCGGTATTATACATTTTCTTTCCTGCATGAAGCAGAAGTTCACTTCAAGTACATCAAAATGATATCATTTCAGGCCCATTCTCACGTTTTCCTCTGGGGCTCGTGTGCGCTGTGTGCTGTCAGAAGTAGCATTGCAGTGGCCAAGGTGACTTCAGGTGAGCGCCAGCGACTTGCGGAAAAATGCACCATGTCCGCATTTTTCCATAACGCACCGCAGCCCACCTCAAGTCAGCGCTGCAGTGTGAACAGGGCACTTAATTGTTTTCAGTGTACCCTGGTGGTAACCTGTATTGTCCTTGTGTAGAAAAACATAGGTCACAGCACATAGTATGAATTAGCTTTTGGACTTACAGCTTGTTCACGCCAGGGATGGCGTCCAACTCAGCTCATGGCAACTAGTGATGTCAGTGAGCTGGATGGGACACTGGTCAGAGCTGGAGTCACAAGTACCCGCCACTCCCCCGGTAACGTGCACCGCCAGCACATACACACTCCATGGTAACATGCACCACCACCACCAGACAGACATACACAGACAAAGACACACAGACAAAGACACGCAGACAAAGACACACAGACAGACAAAGACACACAGACACACACCACCAGCAACTTCCCCCCCTCCCCTCAGGACTCCCCTGCCTCAGGTGTCACAAATTGTAGGGACACCCCTGGGCAACCCCATCGTGACTCCTGTTTCTAGCCCCCTGTTGTTGCCATTGAAAGTGCTTTCTTTCCTAAAGCTGTCCCTTTGCTATTTGCCACCGGAGGCAATTTTGTTCAGGGGGAAAAAGGGGTGGCAGGCAAGATGTAAGATTTACTGGTTCACTTGTTGCGGGAGAGGGGAAGGTGTTTGGCGGCAGATGACGGCTGGATAGGACACCAGTTAGAGTGTCACAGATTGCCAAAAACTCTTAGCAATCTGGGATGATCTGGCCGCCACCACCCAGCTGCCCCCCCAATGAGATGCTTCCTGAGGCAACCGACTCATTATCTGAGGCGGTTGCCTATATCTGACAAACCTTCTCAACTTTTTTTTTTTAGGACTGATTGTTTTAGCCAACAGATAAAAGACAGCTGACAAGCTAGCAGTGACAAAAGAGTAAGAAGTAATTCTGAAAACTCCAGTAAAACAGTTAACTTGCACCTCTGAGGAAAAAATTAGATGGAACGTGGAGAAATGTCTCACTTTTTAGAGGCCCATTATCCCTGTACTGTATATAGAATAAAAATATGAAGCAGTACAACCACCTTCATGACATTGATTATGACTTTGCCTCTGGACTTCAGTCAGCACTGTATATAAACCTTACAATCACTAATCCACTCAGTTATTCATATATCAAAGTTGGCTTTTGGCAATTTTACCCCGTGAACACTGCCTGGCATGACTTCAACGTCATTCGAAATCAAGTTTCTTGTATTGGCAACAAGGTGTGACCTCATTAAACAGAACTTATAGAACATTCATGATTAAAACTGAACTCCAGCCAAAAATAACAAGATACGATTCATAGCCACACCAGCTTTTGCTGCAATATTCACCTTCAATTTAGATATTTCCCCCACAGTACCCATGTTTTATGCTGCTACATGTCCTCAGTCTGATGGTCAGCATCATTCAACCCATTTCCTCTAAGCCCAGGTCATCCTAGAACCGTCCCAGCCTGTGACTGGACAGTGAAAGGAGAAGCAGCACAATGATGAGATCATCTCTCTGTCACAGTTTTCTCCTCCAGTCAGCCCATGACCTTATTGGATCTTTTGGTTTCTTCTTCATTTCACACTCCAGCGCTGTTGTACAGGGTCTGCGACAGGCTGAAATCAAGGGAAATCCAAGTACAGTAAACTCCCCATTATCCGGCATTCAAGCAACCGGTACAAAAAAAAGAAAAAAAAGGGGAGCAAAGAGGACATATGTCCTCGATTCTTTTTTTTGCCAGTGGCTTGATACACACAAAAAAAAATTATCAGTTGCTTAGTGCACACAAAAAAAAAAATTGTTCTTAGCAACTAACAGGGTTATTCACGAATGGGTGAAGAGTTTGGAGGAGGGAGGAGAAGTGAACAATCTAGGCCAACATGCAACTGGAAAGTGAACTGAATTGGAGAATCTTTCCAAATCAGCTATTTTGGCCTAGATTGTTCACTTCTCCCTCCTCCAAACTCCTCACCCTTTTGTGAATAACCCTGTAAATGTATCTAGTTTCTAATGAAATTCTTTGTTTCCATCTTGCTGCCAGCTAGGTTCTGCAGTCGGCAGCAAAATGTAAACAACGGGGAGCAATAGCCAGCCTGCTATTGGCTATTTTAAATTGCAAAAGCCAATATTTGCCCACTGAGCAGAGGAGTGGATCGTAATGGGGGTGCCACGCGCAGGGGTGGTTGGTTGCTGGAGAGTTACTATTACCTCTCAAGCAATCAGAAACTACAGTTTTCCGGCACCGACCGATCCCTGTGGGTTCCAAATAACTGGGAGTTTACTTTAGTTACAATGCTTGGGAGTGGGGAAGTGTTGGCACAGTTTTTGTTAATGTAAACGGCATCTTTCATGCCTCTTGCAATCCAGTTGTCCCCTCTGTCCAAAATGTACATCTCACTGACCTTAAAATGTTTCTTATGGTGTGGGGAAAATACTGTAGGATCTACCCTCCTACGTCAGGTCATTTGTTTTCTCAGAAGTTATTTGCATAGGTCTTTGCATTCGTTGCTACACTGCACATACAAAGGGTTTTTCACTTGTGTTTTGGTGTGGGGTCTTTTAATGTACAAGCTTCTATCTTATTTTGCTTGGTTTGAAAGACACAGGGATGCAATGTTTGTTGGAATTCCTTTCCTACACACTAGCTACATACGGGATGACTACATTTTTTCTGTGTGTTCTGCTTCTCCCCTCTGTGGTCCCAAAAATGAAACCGAAGAAGTGCTTGAATAAGCTGGGAATGGTCTTCAACAATATAGAACAAATGTAGCTGAATGTGGCTAACTACTACTAGCTATACCATGACCTGGATGAATGAGAACCTTCACAGAAATATTTAAAATTAAAACCAGTTTCCATTACATACCCTATTTTAAACCTTGTGACCTCACCATTAGGTCTTTGTGCTGCTCTACGCAATGCAGGCAGATCATAGCTGCTGGGAAGGGACAGAAGGATTCTGGATATAGCTCCCTGAAACCATCACAGCACCCTCAAGAATCCTCAGCCCTAATGAAAGCAGTGGGCTGTCATTATGTAAATATCAAAATGCCTTACTGGGTGGATGTCCGTCTGAGAGAGGATGAGAGGATGTTCCTTGACAGGCTGCATTTGCGTGCAGATGATGTCCTAAGCATTGCCCATATGTGATGTTGAACCTCAATGACCGAGAACTGTAAAATCGATTAAATAAAAAAGGGGCAGGCCAGGGGCTCCCAAGCTGGGGAGCAAAGAGCTAGATGATGCTGAATGTCATCCAAAAAATAAATGGAGGTGGACTTACAGTGTGCAGTGAAATCAATACAGTAGAGGAGCCTGTACAACTGTGCAAGACTGAAGATAAGGCCGGACTGGAGTTCAGCTCTAAACCAAAAGAGAGACTTTTGTCTTTGAGGTCTACTACTTCACTTGGGTAATTAGAAAATCATACGTGACTGGTATACTGCTAGTCAGAAGACTTGAAAATGGCACAACTAGTCAGTAACACACGTTGCCATAATTATATAAACTTGGCAAACAAACATTTCTTATCAAAAGGAATGGGAACAATGGTTGGAAATAGAAAATGGTTGACGTCACAAGGACACAACTCACAATAAACTTAGAGCTCACTTACCAGCATCTTTAATCCACTCATCGTAAAGAAGTACTGCTCTGGATGTCAGGTCATTGAGAGCCATGTTCAGGTGAGTTCTGTTAAACAAAATCATACATTCTGACATTAATGTGATTATAGATTATGGCGGATGTAATGTGACCGGGAAATGTACCTCAAAACAAGATCTGTGGAAAGTTCTGCAATCTCTAACTCAAATGCAATGACATAACACAAGCAAAAATTAATAAAGTAGTAACCGCTCCAAACTCACTGTCCACCCCGGGAGTGAGCATGGAGCGGTGACTACTTTACAACACACACAAGACCATGGGGAACAAAAGTAGCCGCCCTTCAGAAGGAAGGACAGTGTCAGCACCAATTCAGAGAGGATTTGAGGATCTATAGCCGAGTGATACACAAAGAAGGTTCAGTTTTGTTATTCGTTAAGGTACTTGAATGTATTTTTAAGATTTAAGTTTAGTGTCACTTTACGACAACTTCCAAAACATGGGAGTTATATGTGGCCATCCTTGAGGGAAACTTGTTCTTGGTCTATGCAAAGCAAGAGGTTTCCTTTAATACAACTCCTTAGGGTGCCCATACACTGGTCGAATGAGCGTTTTTAATGTACTGGACTAAATTCGCAGTGTGTGGGGCACGCTGTTTGTGTTGGAGGAATCGGGTCAATTTTTTGTGTGCAGCCCGCGGGTTGAATGAAAAGAAAATGATGTGTATGGCCAGCCTAAGTTGCATACTCACTTTCTCTTTCTACTGCTGCATTTAGCCGCTGATAAATTGTCCAGTACTTCTGGGTATGTAGTAGGAATGCACCGATACTAGTTTCGGTGCTGATGCTGAGTACTCATAGTCACCTAAATGCTCCGATGCTTAGCCCGATACTTCCGGTATCAGGAAGCCGCGCAGAGTCATTACACGCTGCCCGGCAAGCCGGCTCCATGCTCCCTCGTCACTTGTGACCTCATGACGAGGGAGCATGGAGCCGGCCAATCAGGAAGCCTGGCACCGTGTCATTACACAGTGCCTGGCTTCCTGATTGGCCAGAAAGCCGGCTCCACGCTTTCTCGCCATCTAGTAACGAGAAGCATGGGGATGGCTTTCCTGCTAATCGGGAAGCCAGGTGGCGACTCATTACACGCCGCCTGGCTTCCTGAATGGGACTTCCGGTAATCGGTAAGTACCGGAAAAAAAAATAATGGTACTCGTAACCGAAATGCCGGCATCGGTGCATCCCTAGTATGTAGTAACATGTGATAGCCAGTCATGCTAATGAATCCGCTTATCCACAAGGGGGAACAACAATATTCTGGACAGGATTGATGACCAGTCATACCTAGAACTTATTAAACTCATAGAAATTGGATGATCTTTGCCTGATTTAGCCAGAAACGGAATGTCATCTCATAGGTAGCTTTACAGACACAATGACAAGCAGCTAACCTGAAGGAAAATGAACAAGTGTTTTACTTCCTTGTATACTGGGGAGGCAGAAGACAGAACCTCTATGAAACTTCACGGACATGCCTGAAAAATACTCAACATTCTTTATATTTTTTCTACCCACAGCAAAAAATTGTTTACATTCCACATTTCCTCCCTGGGCCGCATGTCTATTCACACAAGACACTTGTTACAAGATGTTTATTATTATTATTATACAGGATTTATATAGCGCCAGTTTGCGCAGTGCTTTACAATATAAGATGTTTATTTAGCCATAATTTTGTGGTTTTTTTTCTAGGTATTAATACTGTGTTAGGCCCCTTTCACACGACCACTCCGATCGGCTCCACCTGTCCGTTTTTCAGGCGGACCCAATCGGGTGCCCAATGCTAGATTACGGGCAGCCGGGTCTAAATGAACAGGTGTGCGTTTCCATCCGCTTACCCCCGACTCTGACATGGTCCGGAAAAACAAACCGAAACAGTGTTCCTACTTGGACCTGATTGTGCAAGATCGGGAGTATTTCGGGGGGGGGGGCTATCCATACACAGCTCCGATCAGGAGAGATTCCCTGCATGGAACCCCTGCTGACCAGCTCGTGTGAGAGGTGTCTTAGTGTAAAAGTTTTTACATTTGTCACCTGCTGCCCAAAGGAAAAGATAAACCTCTGTAGCCTTGTTACTGCTTTATGAGCCAGAACAAGGGAACTGCATCCAGCACCAGTGATCAATCCAGACATTAAGGGCCAGTTCACACCGAGCCCTTGCATTACAGTGCGGCAGCTGTGTTACCATTCATTTGAATGGCACCCCAAATGCACCTGCCAGCTATAAATGGCACTTGACCGCATTGCTTTGGTTGAGGGCATCCATTTCTATTCTCTAAAAGGAGAACATACACTGTCTTTTAAAACATGTGGACATAGAAGTTTCACCTGTAGAGAATGTTTGCTGAAAGTCAGACTTGCTGCTTTATAAATATTGCCTTAAAAGGGTAATTCCACTTTCCCAGGCGAATTTGGGAAAATAGAATTACCACCACAAATCTCAACCCTGCTCTTACCTTTCAACGAACACTCCTTCCCCCCACACAGCTGCCGTGTAGGAACTGTACATCATACACAGCAGCACAGCCCTGTGGTTGGTATTTTATTTATGCTCACTAATGGCAAGCACTCATTGGTGAGCGCGGTCACTTGACGGCGCTCACCAATGGGAGGTGCTTTTGACCTCGCTGACCAATGAGGCATTTTTTTTACTGCGCTGACCAATGAGAGGCGCTTCTTATCATGAAGAGATTCTCATTAATCAGCGCAGTCAGGTGCATAAAAATGAATGCCATCGACCGTGCCACAATGCGCTGTTCTGCAGTATCATATGTTGCAGTTTGGTTGAAAAAAGTACTGCATGCATTACTTTGACAAGCTGTGGAACTGGTTCACAATTAAGAACTTCATAAGTATCGGCTCAACAGTTACAAAAGAAAAAAAAAAAAAAAAAGGTTCAGAAACACTTATTCAAAACAGATATTCATCTAATGGCAAGCTCAGGTCATGTCAAATTCCACGTTACTATGCTTGTAAACTGTATAACAAAACACGCCACAGTTTTTGCTCTTTAGGATGTATTGTATTTGATGAAGGTTCCTCTGCAGAAAGAGATTGATGACACACACACAGTCCTCAGTCTGTAGCACAATGAAGATATATTGTAGCCAGGGGCGTATCTGCCGCGAGGCAAACAAGGCGTTTGCCTGGAGCAGCAGATTCGCTGAGGGCGGCGATGCTGCCTTGCCTTGCCTAGGGCAGCAGCAAAGTTAAATACACCGCTGATTGTAGCCCCCTTGGTGCACAGCATACTAGTACTATTCAGTATCAAGCCCCTCATGTTCCCTCAGCTCATTAGTCATTCACCCATCTACAAAATCTGTATTGTATATTTTAACTGTGTTGAGCAGATAAGGACAAGATGGTTAAAGTGATGACAGAAGATCCACATTCTGGAACATCTAGAAACCATCAATTATCTATTCACTAGACTGGTCTACCTTCACATTCACAGCAATGGGAGACACAAATTATTGTTTTATCCTTTTGTCTGATCGGCCCTTAAACTGGCCATACACTGGTAGATTTTTTTGTAAAAACGTTCATACCAAAAATCTTGTATCTTGATCATTCAATAATACTCTCTATAGAGTGACTCTAACCACTGTATGGGTGTCCTTGGTAATGGGCACCTAATCTCCAAAAGAATCTATATACAATACACAAATTACATTTCTGGGGTTACCACGGTAGCCCAAGTAAAAAGTGAACTATAAAAAACAAAATTTTATTGCGCAGTTATACATATGAAAAGGCGAAACCTAGAGGTGCACCGAAATGTAAAATTTCAAAACCGAAAAAAAATAAAAAATAATATGTCAGGCCGAAACCAAAAATGTTTTTATTTTAACTTTTCCAAATTTTTAAAAATATTTCAGGGTAAAGAACAACAAACAAAGAAAATTCATTTTGCTAATCTAAGAATCACATTAGTCTGCATGCCCAAATTCCTATTACAAACGCCATGTGCTGTTCGAATGGGTTGTTTGCATAAAAAAGATTGCATGATCGTCAGAAAGTAGTAGAAACTGTGAGATCCTGCTGAACTGGTCGGACTGGTTCTGTACACATGTGAAGCAATGTGAACTGGTTGCCACTAAGTTTTTTTTTTTTCCACCAGGACCTTCCCATATTCCTTTTCCATTGTGTTCTGGGATAGTCTAAACAATGTTTGCCTGGGGACGTTCTGTGCGCATTAAAGTACAGCACACAATGGCTTGGTTTAATAATAAGCAGGATTATGGAATGATGGAGATAAGCCCCTGCTCCCCAGCAACAGACGGCGGTTATTTTACTTACTGCTGTTACTCATTAAAAAAACACACGGGGCCCTTTTTCTCTACAGTTGTTTCTGTTGCAAATCTGATGTATAGGTATGTATAAAAAATGTATCAAGCATGTTTCTATTGGACTTTAAAAATGAAGGGCTCGTTCACACCCAGGAAGTATGTTAATTGCGCGGTTCTGTGCAATTAACACTTTGGTTTGCAAATGAGATGCAAAATTTGCTCTCATCAGAAAAGAGGACTTTGGACCATTGAGCAACAGACCTGGATCACCCCGGTGGCTGGTTCGGCCGTGCGACTAGGCCTCGAAGTCCTTGCGCTAACCGCGTCACCAGACCTCATTTCAGGCACTCGATCGTGTCCTCTCTGATTCAGCTACTCATGTCAGTCTCTCTGTACACCGCTGCACAGAGCCTGTGTGTTCCTGTATGTCAGCGGTGACCACACACCTCTGTAGCACACAGTCTTAACCCACACAGGGTTACACAGGTATGTCCTCTTCAGATGGCTGTCCCAGACTGAGCGCGCACAGCAGCTACCGCCCGTAAGTCTCCTCTCTCCTGCACAGCCTCCTGGGAGCTGCAGTTTCAGAGATCCTTCTTGCAAATGTTCCAGTCTCTGCCCTGCACTCCAACTCCCATAAGTCTCCGCCTCCAGGACACACAGAGGCCATTAACTGTTCACACTGCCCAAAATGAAAATATTTCTTTAATTTTGTGCCCAAACACTTGCAGTCATCATG